CAGAATAACATTCTCTGACTTAGGAAAAGCAACACAAAAACATATAGAAAATATGCCTTTTCTCACATGTGTGGTTGTGACAGAGACATGATATTCCTAAAATATAGGTTTTTTTCTTTGTTATTTTATCCTTAGCAAATTGCATTTCCCCACTACATCATGAATCATCACTTACTTATCTAAAATAACCCACATGGTTTCTTATGAAAATAGGAGAATAAACCTATTATAAGCAGGTGATTTGGATATTTTCTTTTGTATTAGCCAACTATATTAGAGCATATTTCTGTTTACCTTCTATCCCTTTTTTTCTCTCAATTATGTTTTTCCAGTGCCCTATAGAAATAAATATGAAAGTGATACTCCTTTTTTTCCCCTGTAAAATACTGCAACTGCTTTATTATATTTAGAAATCCAATAAACCTCTAATTACATAAAATAATTAAAGGAAACATTAGGAATAATTCTTTTTACCATTATTATTAGGCTTAAAGTTTCTTGGGACAGGCTATATTAGGTATAATTTGATATTGTATATTAGTTTATTTCATTTGAAGCCTAGGATACCGTTATCTTCCTGTAGAGGCAGCGTTTATACTTTGTTACTGGAAAGCCGCAGCTAGACCTGGGGCACTGACAAACCCAGGTGACTTGGTCTATTCTGGGAGTGAAATGATTGGAAGCTGGGTTTCATTTCTTCTGAAGGCTGGTTATTCCTTTTTACTTTATTCCTGGGGTTGTCTTTTGGTGAAACAGTCCAAAGCCTGAGGACATTATCAAAGCCCCCCCTCTCATAAAGTTGGCATGCCCCAAATTTCCATTTTTGTTCCCCATGACCAATGAGTTGTCTTCAGTTCTGCATATCTCTCAACTTCTCAGGCACATATTTCAGAATTGGCAGATACTTTTCATATATGATAATGCTTCTACTTGGAACACTGGACAGCCTGTCTTAAACCTTCCCCCTGCCCCCAATCCCTTATTCCTGGCTAACTCCTACCTCTACCTTATGGCTTAGCCTAAATGTAATTCCTGGGAAACTTTCCATGACTCCCCTTGTGCCACCATAGTATCCTGCCTTCCCTTGTCATAAATACTTATGTCATTGAAAATTAATCGCTTTGTCTCTCCTTACCAGACTCTACACTTTGTGATGTCAGGAACAGTGTCTTCCTTGCTTATCCCTATGTTTCTGGGACATAAAACATTGCCTGGAATATAGTAAGGACACAAATATTTGCTCATGAATTGATAGTTCTCTATTTTTAAATGGCCTTCCATTTTCTACAGAAAAAAATTCCCACTTCCTATGCATGGTTATATAAGATTTTTTGTGATTTGAGGCTTGTATCTCTCACCACCCCACGCTTTACACTATGCTTTGCTATTTAACATCTCTGTATCTTTATGGTGCTCTGTCTTTTGTGTGTCTTTTCTCCTCTGTGGTCTGGAAAACTCATGGTGTCTGTGTCTTCTCTTGTGGTCTGGAAAATTCTTGCTCCTCCTTTAAGGGTTCAAGTTTCTCCTCCTCTTAGAAGTCACTTGAGGCTAATTCTTGCCCTTCTTCTGATAAATTTACTTTCTTCTTTATCTGTGTATCTGACAACATTCATCATGTTGTGCTATAATTGTTTATATGTCTATTATACCACCAAATTATAAATTACTTAAGGGTGGAAGCCCAGGTTTAATCAGACTTCTTTGTTAACAATATTAAAAGAATAGGCATATTAATTTATTATCACTCCTTGAATAGCTTGACTTGGAAATACATTTTCAAAAGTATCTTTGCTACAATTCTATAAGTTAGATACTAGTTCCTAATTCCTAGAGCTTAGAAAAGCTAAATAACCTGTCTGACATCATGTGGCTAATAGTTGGTAGAACCAGAATTTGAACTCAGGTAATCTGATTGAAGAGTCCAAACTGTACTGTCTGCAGAGACAGAGGGAGAGAATGGAAGAGGGAGAGGGAGAGGAGATGGGGTGTGTTATCAAGAGGGGCAAAAATAGTTCCATGTGTGGCTAGATTCATGGATGGGAGTGGTGGGAAGGTGGAGATTAAGTACTGAAGAGTTGGTTCAGGTTAAATTATTAATATTCTAGTGTATCATGATAAAGAGTTTATATTCTGTCCTATAGCTAATGAGTTCACTTTGGATGTAAGCTTAGAAATTACATAACTGCGACTTAACGTATAGAAAGACAGCCTTGGCTGTGCGGACAACAGGTGCCTGGCAGACAAGGTGATGGGACAACCCTCTGTGATAATGTTCAGATTAGAGCAGGAGGTGGATTTCTGGATCAAGAATGTTGAGAATGTTTTTTGCTTCCGTTTTCATCATTGCAGTCCACCTTACAGCTGTGGAAGAAGTTTTTGGTAACCACAGGATCTTCCACTTATAATGTAATATATGTCTGGTTATCTTAATAGCATTTGGATTTGGTCTTTATCCTCAATCTGATATTGTATATTTATGCAAAAATCTTTATAATTGTATATGTACTTTAAATTATTTTTGTGTGATTAGATTATGTTAAAATTCACAGTCAGAGGTGTGCTGGGTAGCTCAGTCAGTTCAGTGTCTGACTCTTGGTTTCTGGTCAGGTCATGATCTCAGGGTCATAAGATTGGACCCTACATCAGCCTCCACACTGGACATGGAGTCTGCTTAAGATTCTCTCTCTCTCTCTCTCTCTCTCTCTCTCTCTCTGCCCCTCCCCCACTCACACTCTGTCTCTCTCTCACCCCCCCCCGCTTGTGTGTACACACACTGTCAAAAACAAACAAACAAACAAATAAATATTAAAAAATAGAGGCATCTTGGGTGGCTCAGTTGGTTAAGCGTCCAGCTCTTGATTTTGGCTTGGATCATGATCTCACGGTACATGAGACTGAGCCCTGTGTCTGGCTCTGCCCTGGTGGTGCAGAGCCTACTTGGGATTCTTTCTCTCCCTCTCTCTCTGCCCCGCCCCTGTGCTTACCTATACATGCTTCCTCCCTCTCTCTCAAAAAATTTAAATACATATTTTTTTAAAAATAAAAAAAGGGTGCCTGGGTGGCTCAGGCAAAGCGTCTGACTTTGATTCAGGTCATATCTCACAGTTTGTGAGTTTGAACAGGGTTTGAGCCCTGCATTGGGCTCTCTGCTGTCAGTGCAGAGCCTGCTTTGGGTCCTCTCAGAGCACCTGGGTGGCTCATTGGACAAACTCTTGATTTCTGCTCAGTCAGGAGTTCAAGCCCCAGATCGGGCTCTCTCTGACAGAGCGAAGCCTGCTTGGGACTCTCTCTCTTCCTCTCTCTGGCCCTGCCCTCTCAAAATAAAGTAAAAATAAAAATAAAAATAAATAAAATTCACAGTCTGAAAGGTTCGTTATCTGAAAATTTGGAAAATTATTTCTCTGTGTATTCCCCCCATATATATAACACATACCTTTTTCTAGGCTTCAATGCTCTAATTTTTATATTTAATGATTGAATAATTCAGTCAATAGCACTTACAATGGTAAATTTGAACTAGGTATTTGGAAGGACTCTTTAATCCAAAGCAGCCCGTATTCAGAAATATCTCACACTTATGATATAGAACATTAATTAGGCCCTTTATATTAATTTATTTTTTGATGTGCATTAATGTATTATGTAATCGTTTTTAGTGTCCCTTGCTGTAGTTATGACATTAGAAGATAGTGCTACACAAATATAATTTCATTATAGCCCTAGAAGACTTAATGTTTGATAACCCTTCCCTCTCCTTCCCCAGGTACTCTGTCTATGTTCTCCCTCTCTCTTTCCCTCTCCCTCCCTCTCTCTCCCCAATCCCCTTTCATCCCTCCCTCCCTCTGCATGTACACATGTTCACACAGAAACACATTCTTAGGTGAAAGTTTGTCATTCTACTGAGTAAATAAGAAGTTTGATTTTATTAAGCTTGCTGTAGCCACACGCACCACTCTGGTTGTACTTGACTGTTCCATGGCATCTCTTCCCCATTTCTCATTCAAGGTTATCCTTGAGGTTTATTATTCAGTTAGATTCCTACTGTGAAAATGATGATTATGGGTTAAGAGTAAGTCCTGTGTTCCCATTTATTAAAAATTTTCTATCAGGTCAAGAGAAATCATTGGATCTTCATGGTAATGCTAACCAGTTCTTGTTTTTCTTTTCTGTTATGGGATAATCAGAACTGGGAAGGAGTTGATACAGATTCCTTAATCTTTTTTTTTTTTTTTAATTTTTTAATGTTTTATTTATTTCTAGGAGAGAAAGAGAGAGAGAGAGAGACAGCGTGAGCAGGGGAGGGTAAGAGAGAGAGGGAGTCACAGACTCTGAAACAGGCTCCAGGCTCTGAGCTGGCAGTCAGCACAGAGCCCGATGCGGGGCTCGAACCCATGAACCGCGAGATCATGACCTAAGCGAAAGTCGGACGCTTAACCGACTAAGCCACCCAGGCACCCCACAGATTCCTTAATCTTATCAAGAGTACACTGTTGGCAACTATGACAATAACTAGCCTCTAATGAGTGTCTGCCATGTGCCAGGCACTGTGCTAAGTATTTTACACACATGATTGGTAATCACCACATTAATAGCAAGATAAGTTGACCACATTCTATAGATGAGAAAACAGGCTGAGAAAAGAGATTCATTAATAAACCTGACGTCACACAGTTAGTAAGTGACAGAAACTGAATTTAACTTCAAATTTGTCTGACTAGATTCCACACTTCTTTTACTACATAAAATTTCTTTCAATCACCAATTGATATAAATATCTGAGGAGATGCATATCTATACAGGGGCAGCAAAAACTGAAAAAAAAAGGAAGCAGGATTATCGGATTTCTACTTTTAAATATTATTTTATACTGTAAAAATTTGAAGTAGAATTATAGAAATATTTGTTAGAATTCTAAATCTAATCTGTGAATTTTTCTAGTGGAAAATTGATAGTCTTGTCTTCAATGCAATAGTCACCAAAAGTGGATTTTCTGTCTCTAGTTTTAAGATAAAATTGGCTGCAGCATTGGCAAGATGTCGAATCAAACATGATGCCCTTTCAATTTACCACATTCTTCCAGAAACAGTTAGGAACCAGGAACTAAGGGCCTCTACTTTGCCACTTTATGCTTGGATAAATACTTGTAAAATCAGGTAAGAGTTTTAATCAAATTCTTTGTTTACATTTCAAGTTGCTAGCCTTTCCAAGTAATGTGATAAGAAATACCTTTTTACTGGGTGGGTGGGACACATCTAGGGGAGTGATTGGGAAATTATAGTTTAGTTCAAGATCTTATCAACAAATTCCCTGCAGACTGGTGCAGTGTCTCTGGAAATCAGTAAGGAGGTTCCTCAAAAAGTTAAAAATAGAACTACCCTACGATCTAGGAATTGCACTACTAGGTATTTACCCAAAGGATACAAAAATACTGATTTGAAGGGGTACACTCATCCTGATGTTTATTAGGAGCATTATCAACAGTAGCTAAACTATGGAAAGAGTCTAAATGTCCACCAGTTGATGAATGGATAAAGATACACTGGAATATAACTTAGCCATAGAAAAGAATGAAACCTTGCCGTTCGCAGTGACATGGATAGAGCTAGAGGGTATTATGTTAAGTGAAATGTCAGAGAAAGACAGATACCATACAATTTCATTCATATGTGGAATTCAACAAAACAGATGAGCATATGGGAAGGGGGAAAAAAAGAGGGAGACAAACCATAAGATACTCTTAATGATAGAGAACAAACTGAGGGTTGATGGAGAGAGGTGAGTGGCAGATGGCAGATGGGGTGATAGGTGTTAAGGAGAGCATTTGCTGGGACGAGCACTGGGAAGTGATGAATCACTGAATTCTACTCCTGAAACCAATATTGCACAGTATGTAAGTAATTAGAATTTAAGTAAAAATTTAAAAAGCCCACCAAATTCCCAGATGGTAATTACATAAATATGTTAACTTTTCTGTCTTTAATTATCTTTTAATTTAATGTTGGCTAAAATTATAACTTCCATTAGATGCAATATATGCAGTGATTTTAGGAAAAAGATGGTAATGTTAAATGCATTTTTAATATATTTTTAATTACAACCTAATATTGCATATTTACAGCCCTGAAGATGTTTATTATAGTTTGAAGAAAAGAGGCTATAATAAAGTCAAATCTGTATTGCATATTGACGATAAAGTCTTTGCTATGGACCAGCATTGCTATGATGTCTTAATTTTTCCATCTCATCTTAAAAATAATCTTCTAAATATAGATCTTTTCAAAGATTATAAACTTATATTTCAGGTAAACATTTACTTTCATTGTGATTCTCAATAATCCTACTTAAAGAATCCCTCTACTTAAAACCTAACAAGGGGGCACCTGGGTGACTCAGTGGGTTAAATGTCAGACTCTTGATTTTGGTTCAGGTCATGATCTCACGGTTTGGGAGATCAAGCACTATTGGACTCTGCTGACAGAGCCTGTTTGGAATTCTCCCTCTCCCTCTTTTTTTGCCCCTCCCCCACTCTCTCTCTTTTCTCTTTCTCTCTCTGTCAAAATAAATAAACCTGAAAAAAAAACCACTTAAAAAAACCCTAACAAACTGATTATATTTTTATAAATTATCAAAGAGGTTAATAAAGCCTAATTTTCAATCTTGGATAATATTAATATCCCTACAATCAGTGTTCCTGTTGTACTTCAGCATCTTTGTCCCATGTAAAGTTAGGAAGAACATGTTCTTCCTAGACTCTATAGATGGGGATACTTGTATTCCTGGCAGCCAAAAGGCTGTATTTTTCTCTTCCAAGGAAGAATTTTTAAAAAATGCAATGAGGGTGGCTGGGTGGCTCAGTCAGTTAAGTGTCCAGCTCTTGGTTTTGGCTTAGATCATGATCTCACAGTTTCTTGAGTTCGAGCCTCTCATCGGACTCTGCTGGCAGCTTGGAGCCTGCTTGGGATACTCTCTCGCTCCCTCTCTCTGCCTCTCCCCCAATCACACTGTCTCTCTTTCTGTCTCAAAATAAATAAATAAAGTAAAAAAGTGCAATGATACCTTTTCTACCTTTCATTTCTGGGGAAGAGGCTAGTACTTTCCCGAATTTGAAAATGCAATATGTAATACCTTCCCATTATTTCCTTAATATGATCTTAAAGTCTTGATTTGTAAGAAGTATATGATGACTATCAATGCAGGGAGAGGATATGAGGTATAACGTGGCTTCAATAGGATGAAAAAATTATATTAATTTTATGTCCCTAGATTCCAATTCTTGCCTCAGATTTACCTTGTTTTTCTAAGTTTTATCCCTTGAGCATCCATAATCTTGGATAGAATGTCTTGGCCTTATCTTATAGTCATACCCTATTGAGCACTGAGATCAACTACAAAACCTCATGTTTCTAGCCCTCTTTTATAAGTTTGTCAGCCATCTTTGAATATCTACTAACTAGCAGCAATTTAAATGATAGTGAAATGGGGAAGAAAGAATGGCAGTAGTTGATGAGTGAGTTTTCATGAAGGGGTAAGAATGGGAGCTGTAGTAGGAGATCACTAATCTATTAATTACATTTTGGGGATTTGGGCATTGTCTTAGTACTATATAAAAGTTAAATGATAACATTCATAATTTAGGCTAAACAAAGTTAAGGTCTTTGTTTTAAATCTGTTTATATCAGTTATTTTTGTTAACTTTGTATTCTAACAAAGTTTTAAGTTTAAGTTTGAGTTTTAAACTTAAAAGGATTAGGTGTCTCAACATTCCTACCAAGTACTTATTTTACTTCAGCAAAAAGAAATCAATTCATGTCTCTTGTCAAACCCTTTGAAATTCTAATCATTATCATTATCTTGTAGGACAAATCTCGAAGTCTTGCTGTCCATTCTGTAAAGGCTTTATTAAATATGGATGATGATATCTTAGTGGTCAATACAGGTTCATGGTACACAGTTGCCCATATGTCAGTCTTAACAGATAATAATACATCAAAAATATTTGTGTGTGGAGTAAAATCTCAAGCTAAGGATCCTGACCTGAAGAACCTTTTTACAAAAATGGGATGTAAAAGTATGTATAAATATTTATTTGGTAATTAATGCTATATGAAGTTTAGAAATGTCAAAAATGTTTGAATTTGTTACTTTTGTGACATAAAAACTCTTTATATACTATACTCTTAAAATCTTCACTAATTCATATTACACCAGGCTCTTCTCATTGTTAAATATTGGTTCAACAACTATAGTTTAAATGAATGAATATATTGGCACTTTGGTATGTTGCTTGGCATTAGTTACTGTATAATTTGAAGTTCAAACAATAATTAAAGTAGATGGTACAAATCATCATCCTTTAATATATAAGAACACAGTCAAAGAAGTGCTTGACAATGTTAATATCTAGGATTAGAAGCTAAGTCCCTTAGGCTTCTTATTTTCGAAATCTTTTTCATTGAATTATGCTGTGACAAAAGATAACTTTTTATCATAGGTTCAGTGAGGCTGAAAAACTAAGCAAAACTTTTGAGATTTACATTGGATTAAAGCGATCTAGGATTGTTAGTGCCAGATTTAGCTGCCTCCCAGAATCAAAAATTAATTTTCTTCGGAAGAAAATAACATCATCCTAGGTCTCATATTATCTCCTAATTGTTTTCAAATACAATGTCTGGCATTCATTAAAAAGCAAACAAAAACCAAGACAAACAAAAAGAAAAGATATGACTGATATAAAGAAAAAAATACTATAATAGGAGCAAACCCACAAATGGTCCAGATACTAGAGATATCAGATGTGGAGTTTAAAATAACAATGATACATATGCTGAAGAAACTAAATGCCAAGTTTTAGAATTTCAGTAGAGAACTGTAAACTGTAATTTTTTTTATGTCAAAAGAAAATTCTAGAGCTAAAAATACAACATGTGAAATTAAGTAAATAGATTTAACAGTAGATTAGACAGAGCTAAAGAAAGAATAAGTGAACTGACAAGCCACAAGAAAATATCCAGACTGAAGCAAGGAAAATAAAAGGATTAATCATATGGAAAAGATCATAAAACACACTTGGGACTCAGTGTGATCTTCCATATGCTGTTATTGGGAACACACAGAGGAGAAAAGGAATTGAGAAAAACAATATTTGAAATTAAGGCTGGGAATTTTTCTTTTTTTTAATTTTTAAAAAGTGTTCATTTTTGAGAGAGAGAGGCAGAGTGCAAGTGGGGAAGGGCAAAAAGAGGAAGACACAGAATGTGAAGCAGGCTCCAGGCTCTGAGCTGTTAGCACAGAGCCTGATGTGGGGCTCAAACTCACGAACCATGAAATCATGATCTAAGCTGAAGTTAACACTTAACCAGCGTACCATCCAGGTGCCCTAAAGCTGGGAATTTTTCAAAACAGATGAAAGAAATTAAGCCATAGATTCAAGAAACCCTATGAGCTCCAGTAAGAATAAATATATAGAAAATGTGTTAGGTACACTGTGGCATAACTGCTGAAAATCAAAGACAAAGCAGCCAAGGTGATAATATATATTACCTTTAATGAAATAGCAATAAAACTGAAAACTAACTTTTTAACAGAAATAACTGAAACCAGTAATATACTCATAGTACAGTATTAATATACTCAAAGACAAAGCAGCCCAGGTGATAAGATATACTGCCTTTAATGAAATAGCAATAAAACTGGAAACTAACTTTTTAACAGAAATAACTAGAATAGTAATATACTCATAGAGCAGTATTAATATACTCATAGTACAGAAAGAAGCTACCAGTTAGATTTCTAAATTCAGCAGAAAGTCAGTGATGTATGGGTTCTCTGGGGCAGTCAATACACAAATAATTAAGTAATGTTTAATAGTTAAGGAGGGGAAGAAAATGGAATATGGCGTTATAATACCAATTAACATAAAAAGGTCACATGAATAGAAAACAAATAGGTAGATTAAGCTTAAAATATATATGTATTTATATATAAATATATATGTATAAAAATACTTTTGTTTATAAGAGAAACCTTTACATAAAAGTATATAAAAACTTAGAAGGACAGAAAAAGATATACATTACATACACTAACAAAAGAGATATTGACAAAGTGGATTTAAATAAGACACATTACTAGAAATATAATTATAACATGTTCATCAGGAAAATGAAAGAGTATGAAAGAAGTATGTACTTAATAGCATAATCTCAAAATACAAAAAGCAAAATTATCCAGAACCAGCAGAAAACATGCTCTGTATATAGAAAATCCTAAAAAAATAATGTATGCAAAGCTATTAGAACCAATCAATGAGTTGAAAGACAAAACAAATATAAAAAAATCAATTATTTCTACACACTAGGAATAGATAATCAAAAAGTGAAAGTAAGAAAACTATCTTATTTATAAAAACATCAAAAGGAATAAAATAGTTAGGAATAAATTTAAAAGAAGCATAAGACTCATATACTGAAAACTATAAAACATTGTTTAAAGATACTAAGGAAGACATAGGGGTGCCTGGGTGGCTCAGTCGGTTAAGCATCCAGCTCTTGATTTTGGCTCAGGTCATGATCTCATGGTTTTGTCGGGTTTAGTCCTTCTGCACTGACCACCTAGAGTCCGCTTGAGATTCTCCCTCTCTCTCTCTCTTCCCCTTCCCTGTTCATGCGCATGCACACAGACACTCTCTCTCTCTCTAAAATAAACATTTAAAAAATAATAAAAATTAAAAATGGGTAAATGATCTGAATTTAATCCAACTGATCAAGGAAAAGAGATTGTAAAGTGATTCAGTTATCAGCAGTAGATAAGGAGATCCTGTATACATTTAAAACCATAGTAAGAAGATGCTATGAGCAGTTTTATGCTAACAGACTTCAACACTTAGAGGTTATAGGCATATTCCTGGGACACAACAACTTAAGAAAACTGATACAAGAAGAAATAGAAATCTGAATACTTTCTATTAATATCCTAAAATTAGTATTTATTGAATTCATAATTGAAAACTCCCCCTTCTCACAAAACAGAAAATTTAAAAACCTTCAGTCCCTTAATGAAGAAATAATATTCTTTTAGAGAATAGAAAAAAAGGGACTATTTCCTAAGTTTGTTTTATAATGATATAAAAAACACAGAAATGAACATTAAAGGAGGGTAAATTACAGGCCAATGCTACTCTTGAGCAGGTTTCTAAAAAATAAGTATTAGCAAACTGAATTTAGTGATATATAAGAAGAATACATTATGAATGAGCTGGATTTATTCTGGGAATGCAAAATTGGTTTAACTTTTTCTTTTAAAAAAATTTTTTTAAAGTTTATTTATTTGAGAGAAGGAAACAGAGTTCTAGCTGGGGAGGGGCAGAGAGAGGGAGACAGAATCAGAAGCAGGCTCCAGGCTCTGAGCTGTCAGCACACAGCCCGATGTGGGGCTGGAACCCACCAACGGTGAGATCATGACCTGAGCCGAAGTTGGGAGCTCAACTGACTGAGCCATGCAGGTGCCCCTAACTTTTAAAATCAATTTATGTGATCACATTAAGAGAAGAAGAAAAATCATATGATCATCTTAATAGATGCAGAAAATAAATCTGATAAAATTTAACACTTATTCATGATACATATGCATCAAAAATCATACTTGAGGAAGTATTTAAACCTTTCTGATATCAGGAATTAGATAAGCATGACTGCCATCACCATTTTAAAAAATTAATTAATTTACTTATTTTTAATTTATACCCAAGTTAGCATATAGTGCAACAATGATTTCAGGATAGATTCCTTAATGCCCCTCACCCGTTTAGTCCATTCCCCCTCCCACAACTCCTTCAGAAGCCCTTTGTTTGTTCTCTATATTTAAGAGTCTCATGTTTTGTCCCCCTCCCTGTTTTTATATTATTTTTGCTTCCTTTCCCTTATGTTCATCTGTTTTGTATCTTAAATTTCTCATATGAGTGAAGTCATATGATATTTGTTTTTCTTTGACTAATTTTGCTTAGCATAATACCCTCTAGTTCCATCCACATAGTTGCAAAAATAGTTGCAAGGTTTCATTCTTTTTGATTGCCGAGTAATACTCCATTGTGTGTGTGTGTGTGTGTGTGTGTGTGTGTGTGTACACAAGTATATATGTATATATGTGTATATACCACATCTTTATCATTGATGGACATTTGGGCTCTTTCCATACTTCGGCTATTACTGATAGTGCTGCTATAAACATTGGTGTGCATGTGTTTCTTTGAAACAGCACACCTATATCCTGTGGATAAATACCTAGTAGTGCAATTGCTGGGTTATTGCTAGGGTAGATCTATTTTTAATTTTTTGAGGAATCTCCATACTGTTTTCCAGAGTGGCTGTACCAGTTTGCATTCTCACTAGCAGTGCAACTTTTTTTTTAAATGTTTATTTTTGAGAGCAAGAGAGACAGAGTGCAAGTGGGGGAGGGGCAGAGAGAGGGGGAGACACAGAGTATGAAGCAGGCTCCAGGCTTGGAGCTGTCAACATGGAGCCCGACATGGGGCTTGAATTCACAAACTGCAAGATTATGACCTGGGCTGAAATTGATGCTTAATTGAGCCACCCAGGTGCCCCGCCATTCCTAATCAACATTGTGTTGTGAGTCATAGGCAATACAGTAAAAAAAGAAAGGAAGGAATAAAAGATCTAAAAATTGAAAAGCAAGAAATAAAACTATTTTTATTAATAGGTTATACAGTTATAGATCTGAAAAATCCAAAATAATCTACAACTAAACTATAGATTTCACAGATGATTTTTGCAAGGTTGGTAGATACAAAGTCAGCATACAAATTTAATTTCTACATATCAAAAATGAAAATTTGAAAGTTAAGCAGATATCTTTTATAAAGTACCAAAAACCATAACACAATTAGGAGTACACCTAATAAAAGATGTGTAAGACCTCCTCATAAAACTATAGGCCATTATTGAAAGACAAAAGACTTAAGTAAACATAAGAATAAATCATGTTCATGAACTGAAAAACTCAGTGTCATAAAGATGACCTTTCTCTCCAAGTTGATCTGCATGGATTCAGTTCAATCCACATGATACTGCAGAGTACTGAGGTATTTTTTTTTTTTTCAGTAAATAGTGGTAGAAAAAATGAAACTGACCTGTACTTCACACCATCAACACAAATACAGAGTCTCCTAGAATTTATTAAAGGAGAAACACTTAATGACTGGGATTCGTAAAGATTTCTTAAACAGGACACCTAAAGCACTAACCATAAAAGAATAGATTGACAAATTAGACTGTAGTAAACTTTTAAAAAATTTAAAATTTCTGTGCATTAAGAGAGTGCAAAGGCAAACTGTAGAGAGGGAACATATAAACTGATGAAGAATTTTATCCACAGTGTATAAAGAATTCTTACAAATTAACAATGAAAAGACAACCCAACTGGAAAATGTGCAAGAGATGTGACCAGACATTTCACAAAAGAGGATATCCAAATGCCAAAAAAAAAAAATTATGTAAAAGTTGTCAATCCCATTACTAATCAGGGAAATGCAGTTAAAATCACAACTTACCACCACATATCCACAGAATGATTAAAATTAAAAATATTGGCAGTACCGAGTACTGGCAAGGTAAAGAGCATTGGGAATGCTCAAACACAGCTTGTGGGACTGTAAACTTGTGCAATCACTCTAGAAAACTAGCATTAATCACTAAAATTAAATATGTACATACCAAATGACCCAGCATTTCACTTCCAATTACCCTCTGAATTTTTACCTAGTTACCAAGGGAGAATAGGAACCACTAGGTAACCAAGCAGTATTTTAGTTAATAAATGAAAAAGGTATGACAGAATTAAAATATGACTACCTTGCAAGCTTTTTGCTGATGCCAGAAGGGCAAGTTAATGGATAAATATGACATCACTTGTGAAGTAGTTTTGCTCCCTGCTCCACCCTCCCCACCCCATCCCCAATAAAAAGAAAGAAAAAAAAAAGCCAGAATCAAATTAAGCTTCTAAAGATCCAACTAGTAAGTCATAGGAAACCCTGAATACAGGAACATGTTAGAGTATACTCTAGAGGAGCAATTAGCAAAATCCAGACTGTAGAAAAACTGTTGGTAGTCAAATAACCATGTTTCATTAAGGAATAAATTGTAAGGAAAAATAGAAATGGAACCTATCAATAAGAGGAAATTTAAAGTAAGGGTTATCAACTAATTGCAATGTATGTACTTTATTAAAATCCTGATTCAAACAAACTGTAAAAACCTTTTGACATGTGTGAGACTATTGAGAAATTTGAGCCATGATTGGATGCCATTATTTTTTAATGAGAATAAGGAATTATTATTTTTAAAATTTGTGTGGTTATATTTTTAAAGGCATTCTTTTAGAGATATATGGTGAAATATTTATAGATTTAAATAACATGGGTGGGGTGGAAGTGGGTACAGATGTAGATGAAACAGGATTGGGCATGAGTGGTTCACTGTTGAATCTCCATGATGGATACTTGAGAATTTATTATATTTTTATGTGTGTTTTTATATGTTTGAGTTTTTCCAATAGAAAGTTAAAAATAGAAAAAAGGGGTGCCTGGGTGGCTTAGACAGTTAAGTGTCGGGCTTCGGCTCAGGTCATGATCTCGTGGTTCATGGGTTTGAGCCCCCTGTCAGGCTCTGTGCTGACAGCTAGCTCAGAGCCTGGAGCCTGTTTCAGATTCTGTGTCTCCCTCTCTCTCTGACCCTCCCCTGCTCACACTGTCTCTCTCTCTCTCTCAGAAATAAATAAAATATTAAAAAAAAAATAGAAAAAAAAGGAAAAGGCCCACTGATTAAAAAAGAAAAGAATGGTTTCAAAAACGGACAGAATAAGAAAATGAACAGGGTGATCAGACAAGGGAAAGGGGGTGGGGGAGCAATTTTAGGGGTGACTCCTCAGCAGGTAAGGGGGCTGGGAGTCATTGCAGAAGTGGAGGGGTGGCCTGAAGGTAGGGGCACAGATTATTATATTCTGAGGGAGAGCAGACTTTCTTCAACTAAATTAAAGGCCTTAAGGAACTTCAGACTGCCTCATAAATTCTGATACCAAATTTTTTCTCTAGGGAAGATAGAATAATAGAGGAGATTACAATGGGAAAGGGAAATAACCAATACTGAGCATTTACTATATATACTAGGCACCATTACTAAACTGCTTTATCTCAGTCTTCACCATAATTAGATGAGGCAGGCATTGTTACACCATTTTATGACTAAGGAAATGGGGGCTCAGAGAGAGTAAGTCATGCAGCTAGTAATAGTGAAGTTGGGAGCCATTCTTGGGTATTTCTGCCCCCAAAGCCCATTTCCCTCCACTATGTCATACTATTTTAAAGGAATTTGAAATTCAGGGTGCTTGGGTGGCTCAGTCCGGTAAGCATTTGACTTTGGCTCAGGTCACAGTTTGAGCTCCACTTTGGGTGAGCTCGGGTCCCGCTTGGGGTGTATAAGAGCCCTGCTTTGTTTGGGTGAGCCCTGCTTCTCTCTCTGTTTCTTTCTCTCTGTCTCCCTCTCTCTGCTCCTCATGGGATTCTCTCTCTCTCTCTCTTTCTCTCTCTCTGCCCCTCAATCACTTGTGGCCTCTCTCTCAAAAAAAAGTAATCTGAAGTTCAGAATGGAAAGTTATATTGTATGTAGGAGATATTTAAATTTCAAAATTGTTCTCACAAGTGAAGGAGAAAGAGAATTCATGTGTTAACTCTGATAAGTAATCAGAGAAGAATAGCTCTTTTCTGATTATATAAGATGACTTTTTGTGAGGTTGAGGATTTAAAAATGAAAAATGATAGGGTGGCTCAGTCAGTTGAGCGTTTGACTTCAACTTCACTCAGGTCGTGATGTCACAGTTGGTGAATTTGAGCCCTACTTCTGGCTTTCTGCTCCTGGCACCGAGCCCGCTTCAGATCCTCTGTCCCTTCTCTCCCTTTCCTGCTCACTGTCTCTTCCAAAATAAACAAACATTAAAAAAAAAAAAAGCAATGATAAATAGATCTAATTACATACTGTATTAAGATTTTTTAATGAATATTTTTGCACTAATTTTTCTGTTTTTGTTCCCTCCAAGATATTGAAATACTTCATGAAGCATTTCTTAACATTGAATCAAAGGATCATAGATTACAAAAAGTGAAAGTGATTCTGCTGCTACCTCGTTGCTCAGGACTGGGTGTTAGTAATCCAGTAGAGTTTATATTAAATGAGCATGAAGGTACCTAAAAATATTTTAACTTATAAATTATTGAAATTTGTTGATAAATGTCAAAAATAAAATTATTTAAAATCACTAAATGACATATCAAGTATATTTTATTAACGAATAGCTACCACGTATAGAGCACTTACAGTGTGTAAAGTACTTTACGTTCATTGTTTCATTTAATCCTTATAGCAATCCTTTGTGATATGGGCAAGGGGGATATTAAAATTAATTAATTAATTATATTTGTTTTTGAAAGATTGCAATTGGGGTGGGGGAGAAAGGGGGGAAAGAGGATTCGAAATGGGCTCTGCACTGACAGACTGACAGTAGCAGCGAACCCAACTCCCTGTAGGGTTCCAACCCACAAACTGTGAGATCATGACCTGAGCCAAAGTTGGACGCTCAGCTGAGTGAGCCACCCAGCTGCCCCTGAAAACATTTAATAATTGGAATGATGTAGGTAACCAGAACGGATGTTGGCCAGTATGCTCTTCTGGTGTATATGAGAGCTCAGGATATAGGCATTAAAATTTATCAGCATTTTATAGATGCAAATACTGAGACTCAGAAAGATTAAATCATTTTTACAAGGTCACACAAGCTCTAGTTAGTAACACAGCTAGAATTCAAATTTAGATCAGCCAGACTCTATAGACTGTGCTCTAAAATGATCCTAATTAAATTATAATCACACTATTTCAAACTCAAGACTTCTATAATTCCTAGTATGTATGTTTTATGATACTAATACTTCAAATTAAATATTAATTCTAGAAATACTTTACTTCTTCAAGAAATTATAAAATATTATTAAACATTACAATTTATTGAGCACTTATATATAAGGCACTGAGCTAAGCACTTTGCTTTGATTATTTCACCAAATCCTCACAAGAACTTGATGAATTAGTTACAGTAGTCCACTCTTATCCATGGGGATTTGTTCCAAAACCCTCAGTGATTGCCTGAAACCATAGATAGTACTGGACCCTATATATATTATGTTCTTCCCTATAAATATGGCCCTATGATAAAGTTCAGTTTACAAATCAGGCACAGTAAGATATTAATAACAACAATTATAAAATAGAGCAGTTATAACAATATTCTGAAATAAAAGTTATGTGAATGTGGTTTCTCTTTCAAAATATCTTATTGTACTGTACTTACCCTTCTCGTGATGATGTAAGATGACAAAATGCCTACATGATTAGATAAAGTGAAGTGAGTGATGTAGGCACTGTGGTGTAGCCTTAGGTTCTTACTGATCTGCTGATTCGTCAGAAAAAGGATTATCTGTTTCCAGGACTGTGGTTGACCTCCAGTAAGTGAAACTGCAGAAGGCAAAACCATGGATACTGCACTCTTATTTTGTACATTTTACAAATACAGAATCTGAGGCTCAGGGGGGTAGAAGCATCCCAGAACCATTTGACTAGTGTCAGAGCCCAGATTCAAACACAGTAGCTCTGACTCTGAGGCTGGCACTCTGAGCCACTTTTTAAATCACAGTGCGTTGTCATGCGTTAACTTAAACGTATTTTTATTCTAATCTGTTCATATTGAAAGCCCTCTTTTAATGAGGTTAACTAGAATATTAGATACAGAAGACATTTCACCAACATTTAGCATATAGTGAGTACCTTTTTTTGTTTCTAGCAAGGACATTATCAAAAATGAGGAAAAAAAAATGGAGGGAAAGAAACTCATATCTATTGTGCACAACTGTGTCCCAGTTAATAGTCAATATTCTAGGTGGCACACGTGCACTATCACTTAATATTCACAGTAACTTTTTGAGGACAGTGTTCTTATCTCTATTGTATGAGCGGGGAGGGGAACAGGACTCTGAGAAGTCTCACAAGTTGCCTAAGTTCATGTAGCTAGTAAATAGAGACTCTGGGATTTAAATTCAGTTTAGTTAGCACATTCCAGGATACCTCACAGTCTAACTTGGCCTTATGCTGCACCACGCGGAATTGTGACTTGGTATTGAAATTGTCTTTCCAGTGAGAGTAAAACAGAAGAATAACCAAGTCAGATGGAGAATTGTGAGCTGAGACACTTCCTACGTTAACTGGGAAATAATCAAATAAGAAGAATTAGTAGAAATTGGGAAAAGAGGGGAGGAAAGAGCTACAGCTCTAATAAACATAGCAGTCAAGAGAGTTAGAGCTCCCAGCTGAGAAACTCTGGCCTTATTCTGGGTCATCTTGAAGTGGGAATGCAGAAAAAGAGAAACCATAGGTAAAACTAAACTGGGGGCTGGGTTGGTGGAGGAGCTCAAAGGGAACCATAAGAGACGAAAAGGGAGAAAGTAAAAAGTCTCCTAGGGGCGCCTGGGTGGCTCAGGCCAACTGATCCTGGGTGGATCAGTCCCATCAGAATCCAGCTCTTGATTTTGGTTCAGGTCATGATCTCACAGTTCATGGGGTCAAGCCCCACATAGGGTTCTGTGCTGACAGCGTGGAGCCTGCTTTGAATTCTCTCTCTCAATCTCTCTCTCTCTCTCTCTGTCCCTCCCCACTCACACACACTTTCTCTCAAATAAACTTAAAGAATATATTTTTTAAAAAGTTTCCTAGGTGTTAGCAATATTCTGAAAACTTTGATGAAAAGGAAACAGGATAAGCCAAGAAGTAGTCTGGCAAATCTGGAAAAAACGGTTTCTTCTGAGGAAGTAATAACCAGAATAAATAAGAAGCTGTTGACCTAGTGCCTGTGGTAGAAATATGACTAATAAATTTAGTGGGGATGGATTGAAAAGACTTAGATACTAGGTAGAAGGGAAAAATCATGAGTTAGTTTGAAAAACATTTTAACATTGAAAAATATTAGAAACATTGAAGAATACATGAAATTGTTCTTTGCTAATAATTTGGAATTATTTTAAGATGGGGTGAAGCAATAGTACTACTAAGAATTTATCCAAAGGATACAGGAGTGCTGATTCATAGGGGCAAATGTACCCCAAAGTTTATAGCAGCACTATCAACAATAGCCACATTATGGAAAGAGCCCAGATGCCCATCAACTGATGAATGGATAAAGAAGATGTGGTATATGTATACAATGGAATACTACTCGGCAATGAAAAAGAATGAAATCTTGCCATTTGCAACAACGTGGATGGCACTGGAGGGTATTATGTTAAGTTAAATAAGCCAATCAGAAAAAGACAGATATATGTTTTCATTCATATGTGGAATTTGAGAAACTTGGCAGAAGACCATGGGGGAAGGGAAGGAAAAATAAGTTACAAACAGAGAGGGAAGCAAACTATAAGAGGCTCTTTTTTTTTTAATGTTTATTCAGTTTTGAGAGACAGAGCATGAGCAGGGGAGGGGTAGAGAAAGAGGGAGACATAGAATCTGAAGCAGGCTTCCAGGCTCTGAGCTAGCTGTCAGCACAGAGCCCAACAGGGGGCTCGAACCCACGAACCATGAGGTCATGACTTCAGCCAAAGTTGGACGCTTAACCAACTGAGCCACCCAGGTGCCCTGAAATGGAGTTTAGTTAACCTTTACTGATATTACTGGAGTGGGGAAGAGTCAAACATATGGCATAAATAATTGGCTCTCATACTCCAGGGAATTACTGAGAGGCAGAATAAACAGAAGTTAGAAGTTTGAACTCTAGTCAGATTTCTGAGCTAAAATATAGCTCTTCACTTAGTAGCTATATGACCGTAGATAAGTGGTTTAATGTATGTTTGAACAGTTTTCTTAATGTTAAAAAGGATAATAATGCTTCAAGGAGTTCACAAATAAAATACTGTATACTTTGTATACAAGGTAGTATTCAATATATCCTAGTTAATGTTATCAAGAAATATGTTAAAATTAGTTTTGAAAAACTTTATAAGTTACTTTAAGAGTTTTTTGATCAGTTTCTGAATCTCTGAAGACTAGATTTACTTCTCTGAATTCAAAATTTCTTTCGGTAAGTTAATGTTTTTACTGTATCCTTTTGTGTTCTTTCCTTTTCAGATTTGACTAGAGTTCATCCAGTTTCTGCCTTGGAAATAAATCTTTTTTCCCCTCTATTCCCTCCAGACTTATGGCATTCTTGCTTCTGAACCTAAATGACAGAACCTAACCTAAGTTAGCTTGTAGGATGACTACCTCATAAGAACCTAAAGAAGAAAGAAAAACAATACTAAAACCAAATGAAACAATATCACTTTTATTTAGTTTTTAAATTTTAACTCAGCATTTTTATAATAGTATCTATTTAGTTTTAATAAATATTTTTCATGAAAATTCTCATTAAGAGGGAAAATGATTGGGGTGCCTGGGTGGCTCAGTTGGTTAAACATCCAACTTTGGCTCAGGTCATGATCTCACGGTTTGTGGGTTTGAGGCCTGCACTGGGCTCTGTGCTGACAGCCCAGGCCTGGAGCCTGCTTCAGATTCTGTGTCCCCTCTCTCTCTGCAACCCCCCCCCCCCCGGCTTACACTCTGTCTCTGTCTCTCTTAAAAATAAATAAACATTTAAAGAAAATAGGGAAAATGATTGAAAAATTAAACAATGTGTATAGCAATATATGAGAAACACCTCATAGAGATATATTTAAAAGTATTTCTTTGCTTTTAGATACAGATTTACTTAAAGATTTCTCTCAAGGAGGTACATCAGAGGATAAACTTCACATTCTTGTCCAACAGCAATATGAACAGCTAACACATGCAATGAAATGTAAGTTTATTATCAGTTTAATCTTAGAATACATTGTAAATCTTAGAAACATTAATACTTCATTTATCTACTACAGTCAGTCAATGAGGTGTGAGACATTATTTTTACCAGTTCAACCTGTCTTTTAAAAAATAGATGTTGTACTATCATTTGTAGTTATAGGTTAGCAAGCATAATGCTTAATGCTGGAGTGAAATAATTATGTACATGCATGATGGAACAGTTTTCTATTCTCTGTTTCTTTTCTTTGGCTTCTTATATTATATAATTTTTCTTTTGTTATTGTGGCTGCCCATAACAACTATTCAACAATCCAAATTTTAATCAAACTCTTATGCCCCTTAGTGCTAAATAGAGAATAGAGAAATGCAATTACAATTAAAGCCTAGATATCTTAATTTGAAGTCTGAGTAAATAAGGTCTTTAGGTATTTATTTTATTGTTTCAATCACTCTATTTAGATTTGAGTACCATTTAGATTTTGAGGAGAATTGCCCTCAAATGGATATGGATATGGAAAATTGAGAAGTCTCTGAGAAATTGCATAAACTGTTATTAGTTCAGTGCATGTTTATCAAGTGCCTACTCTGGGTCACGCATTATGCTGGATGTTAGGGATGTGAGTGTGAATAAATCCTGATCTCCAGAGGCTCAAAGATAAGTATACAGGTATAGATAATTCAGTACATAAAGATATAGCATGCATGAGGTAGAAATAAGGCAAATGGAGAGCACAGAGCAGTCTGCTCTTTTAGTTGATGCTCTATAAATATTAATTTAAATATGGTAATATATGTATATAATCTTTGAAATAAGTTGGTTGGGAGATTAGAAAGTTGATAAATAATTTTTTGAATTTTTTATACTTTTTCTGACTCCTTTATTTAAAATTACAGTATTATTACCTAAAACTATCCTTCACCCCTGCCTTTTCTCTATGCTGCTTTTCAACCCCTAAAGATACTATACGATTTTCCTATTTATCTGTGTCTTATCATGTCAATAAAACATGGAAAAGAATCTCCCCAGGGGCGAGATTTTTGTCTATGTATCTTGGATGCTAGAATAGTGTTTGATATGTATGAATAAATGAGTGAGTTGCAGGTAGTAGTAGTATCTCATCTTACAGATGAAAAATATGAGAGTTTAAGTAATTTTCCCAGCATCGTACAGCAGTAAGTAACATAACTGGGATTCACATCCAAGTCTGTCACAATAGTCTTTTAACTAGTTATGTGACATGACTTGTGGGAGAATGACTAAAGTATCAAGCTCATGGTAATCTGCACTATCTTTGTGTTTGTAACTAGGTCAGTCACATTGATTAAATTTTCAATTTTCAAACAGATCAATGAAACCAGGACCTGGTTCTTTGAAAAAAATCAATAAAATTGATAAACCCCTACCTGACTTATTAAGAAAAGAAAAAGAGAAAGTGCCCAGATAAATAAAATCACAAATAAGAGAGGAGAAATAACAACCAGCGCTACAGGAATAATAAGAGAATATTATGAAAACTATGTCCCAACAGATTGGACATTCTGGAAGAAGTGAATAAATTCCTAGAAACATATAAACTACCAAAACTGAAACAGGAAGAAATAGAAGACGTGAATAGACCAATAACCAGCAAAGAAATTGAATCAATAATCAAAAATCTCCCAGTAAACAATGTCCATGGCCAGATGGCTTCACAAGAGGAATTCTCCCAAACATTTAAAGAAGCTATTCTTCTCAAACTGTTCCAAAAAATAGAAATTGAAGGAAAACTCCAAACTCATTGTATGAGGCCAGCATTACCCCAATTCCAAAACCAAATAAAGACTCCACTAAAAAAGAGAATTACAGGGGCACCCGGGTGGCTCAGTCAGTTAAGTGTCCAACTTTGGCTTAAGTCATGATCCCAGGTTCGTGGGTTTGGGCCCCTCGTCAGGCTTTATAATGACAGCATAGAAAAGCCTGAGCCTGCTTTGGATTCTGTGTCACCCTTTCTCTCTGCCCCTCCTCGGCTTGCACTCTGTCTCTCCCAAAAATGAAAAACAAAACAAAACAAAACAGAGAAAGAACTACAGGCCAATATTCCTGATGAATATGGGTGCCTAAATTGTCAACAAAATACTAGTGAATTGAATTTAACACTACATTAGAAGAATCATTCACCACGATGAAGAGGGATTCACTCTTAGGCTGCAAGGTGGTTTAACATTGGCAAATCAATCAACATGATATACCACATTGATAAAAGAAAGGATAAGAACCATATGATTATCCCGATAGATGCAGAAAAAGCATTTGACAAAATTCAACATCCATTCATGATAAAAACCTTCAACAAAGTAGATTTAGAGGGAACATATCTCAAGAGAATAAAGGCCTATATGTAAAACTCACAGCTAATATCATCCTCAATGGGGAAAAACGGAGCTTTTCCTCTATGGTCAGGAATAAGATAGAGGTGTCTACTCCTACCACTGTTGTTTGTTTATTTATTTATTTATTTATTTATTTATTTATTTATTTTTTTGTGGTCTACCTTTGGTTTTATTTTTTTTTATTTTTTTATTTTTTTTACAAATAGTTTATTGTCAAATTAGTTTCCACATAACACTCAGTGCTCATCCCCATAAGTGTCCTCCTCTATGCCCATCCCCTCCTCCCCCCCACATCCATCAGTCCTCAGTTTTTGTCAGCATTCAGGAGTCTCTCATGGTTTGCCTCTCTCCCTTTCCCCCACCATTTCCCCCCTTCTTCTCCCCCTTGTTCCTCCGTCAAGTTCCTCCTAATCCTCCTATACGTGCAAACATATGATATTTGTCCTTCTCTGCCTGACTTATTTCGCTCAGCATAACACCCTCAAGGTCCATCCATGTTGCTACACATGGCCAGATTTCATTCTTTCTCACTCCTACCACTGTTATTTAATGTAGTACTAGAAGTTGTAGCCTTAGCAATCCAACAACAAAAAGAAGTAAAAAGGCATGCAAATCAGCAAGAAAGGAGTCAAACTTTCACTATTTGTAGATGACATGATAGTTTATATAGAGGACCCAAGAAACTCCACTAAAAAATTTCTAGAACTGATACATGAACTCACTAAAGTTGCTGGATACAAAATCAATGTCCAGAAATCTGTTCCATTTCTATGTACCAATAATGAAGCGGCACAAAGAGAAATTAAGGAATTGATTTCATTTATAGTTGCATCAAAAGCCATAAGATACCTAGGAATAAACCTAACTAAAGAGGTAAAAGATATATATACTGAAAACTATAAAACACTGATAAAAGAAATGGAAAATGACACAAAGAAATGGAAAAACATTCCATGCCCATGGATTGGAAGAACAGATACTGTTAAAATGTATATGCTACCCACAGCAATCTACACATTAATGCAATCCCTATCAAAATAGCACCAGCAGTTTTCACAGAGCTAGAACAAGGAATCCTAAAATTTATTTGAAATCACAAAAGACCCCCAATAGCCAAAGCAGTCTTGAAAAAGCAAAGCAAAGCTGGATGACAGCAAAATTCTGGACTTCAAGCTATATTGCAAAGTTGTAGTAATCAAAACAGTATGGTACTGGCACCAAAACAGATGCATAGATCAATAGAATGGAATAGAAGGCCCAGAAGTTGACCATGAAAGGTCAACTAATCTTTGACAAAACAGGAAAGAATATCCAATGGAAAGAAGACAGTCTCTTCAACAAATGCTATTGAGAAAACTGGACATGCAAAAGAAAGCCAAAGAATGAAACTGGGCCACTTTCTTACACCACACACAAAAATGAATTCAAAATGGATGAAAGACCTAAATGTGAGACTGGAAACCATCAAAATCCTAGAGGAGAACATAGGCAGTAACCTCTTTGACCTCATCCATAGCAACTTCTTACTAGATAGGTCCCCTGAGGCAAGGGAAACAAAAGCAAAAATAAACATTGATAGATAAAAAAGCTTCTCCACAGCAAAGGAAACAAGCAACAAAACTAAAAGACATCCTTCAGAATAGAAGATATTTGCAAATGACATATTTGATAAAGGGTTAGTATCCAAAATCTATAAAGAAATTATCAAAATCAACACCCAAAAAACAAATAATATAGTTAAGAAGTGGGTAGAAGATATGAACAGGCATTTTTCCAAAGAAGACATCCAGATGGCTAACAGACACATGAAAAGATGCCCAACATCACTCATTATCAAGGAAATACTACAAGGAGATATCACTTCACACCTGTCAGAATGCCTAACATGAACAACACAGGAAACAACAGGTGTTGGCAAGGATGTGGAGAAAGGGGAACACTTTTGCACTGTTGGTAGGAATGCAAACTGGTACAGCTGCTGTGGAAAACAGTATGGAGTTTCCTCAAAAAGTTAAAAATAGAACCACCCTATGATCCAGCCATTACACTACCTAGGTATTTACCCAAAAGATACAAATTGATTTGAAGGGGTACAGGCGCCCAGGTATTTATAGCAGCATTGTCAACAATTGTTAAACTATGGAAAAAGCCCAAATGTCCATCATCTGATGAATGGATAAAGAAGTGCATCTACTTCTATCTCTATCTATACATACACACACAAAATGGCATGTTACTCAGATGAAAAACAAAGTCTTGCCATTTGCAACAATGTGGATGGAGCTAGAGAGTATAAAGCTAAGTGAATAAGTCATCAAAGAAAGACAAATACTATATGATTTCACTTATGTGGCATTTAAGAAGCAAAACAAGTGAGCAGAGGCAGAAGAAAGAGAGGGGGCGAACCATAAGACAGACTCTTATCTATAGAGAACAGACTGATGGTTACTGGAGGAGAGGTGGGCAGGGATATAGGATAAATTTGTTAAGGGGGTTAAGGAAGCACTTGTGGTGAGCACTGGGTATTATATGTAAGTAATGAATCACTAAATTCTATACCTGAAACTAATATTACATTGTGTGTTAACTGGAATTCAAATAAAAACTTGAAAGAAAACGAAGAAAATAATTTTCGATTACCATACCATCCAGTTAGATTTACTTTACTTATTGGCCACAGACTATATTACTAATGCATGTTTTAAAGAGTGGAGTCATGCAAGCATCTATGGAAACCATTCCCATCAAAACTATGTGGTATTAGTATCAAATAGATGTTTGGAAACATAAATCTGTTTAGGATTGTTAACGGGGCCATTATTATTAATTACATCCTTCTTTAAATATAGTTACTAAAGCTCAAGCAGTTGTTTATTGCACGTGTTCGGTTTATCCAGAAGAAAATGAAGATGTTATTAAGAAAGCACTGGAATTTCAAGACCGTGGGATTAAAGTACAGCCTTATAGGTAAGAAAGGAAAGGGTTGCTCTGAACTCATATATTTTTGAATATGAATGATTATGATTTTTAAAGTTATTTAAAGACGTTCACTTCCTTCTTATTATACTTTACAATGAATGACCAAACAACCTAATTTCTTACAGCTGTAACATGGATTCTGTAGCGTCTCTATGATGGATTGGCATGAGCATTCTTTTGTACTACTAAAGATTCTTTCTTTTTTTTTAAATTTTTTTTAATGTTTTATTTATTTCTAGGAGTGAGAGAGAGACAGCGTGAGCAAGGGAGGGTCAGAGAGAGAGGGAGTCACAGACTGAAACAGGCTCCAGGCTCTGAGCTGGCAGTCAGCACAGGGCCAGACGCGGGGCTTGAACCCACGAACCGCGAGATCATGACCTAAGCGAAAGTTGGATGCTTAACCGACTAAGCCACCCAGGCGCCCCTAAAGATTCTTTTTTTAAAATACTTTATTAATTTCTGAGAGAGAGAGAGAGAGACAGACAGACAGAGACACAGACAGAGTGAGCAGGGGAGGGTCAGAGAGAGAGGGAGACACAGAATCTGAAACAGGCTCTGAGCTAGCTGTCAGCATAGAGCCTGACAGGGGTCTCAAACCCACGAACTGTGAGATCATGACCTGAGCCGAAGCTGGACACTTAACTGACTAAGCCACCCAGGTGCCCCTAAAAATTCTTTTGTTGTTGTTATTCTAGTAAAGCTAAAGGCATTTTGGATTTCTGGATAAATTGGGTCTAAACTTTATATCCCAAGTTTTAGACACATTTATGCCTCAGTACAAAAAAAATAAGTATATAAAACAAACTTAGAAAGGAGAAAGAGGGATCCCTGGGTGGCTCTGTCGGTTAAGTGTCCAACTCTTGATATCGGCTTAGGTAGTGATCTCGCGGTTGTGGACTTGTGGTCGTGGCCTCGTGATTGTGAGACAGAGTCCTGCGTACTCTGCACTGAGCATGGAATCGGCCTGGGATTCTCTCTCTCCCCCTCTCTTCTCCTCTTCCCCTTGCATACACACACACACTCTCTCTCTCTCTCAAAATAAATTTAAAAACTTAAAAAAAAAAAAAAGGAGAAGGAAAATTATTTAATTGGATGTTTATTACCTGAAAACACATTTCTAAGCTCTTTGCAGCCTTTGTCCCTCACAACAACTGAGATAGAAAGAGCCTAAACAATTCAGGTAGCTTCTGGGTAAAATGCTGCAATAAAATAGAGGTAGAGAGGATGAGCAGTAATATTCCATCTGAACCGTGAACATCAAAATAAGGAGTAGATCGGGGAGCCTGGGTGGCTCAGTTGGTTAAGTGTCCGACTT